TATAATCTGTGGCAAGTTAGGGAAAAATTGGGATAGTGGCAACTTCCCATAAAGCTATCGAAAAGATACATATTTAAGCAGATTTTAATGTTATAAATTTAAGATATGATTACATATTGAGGTCATTTTCTTTTCTCCAAATGAGATAAAGCCCCCAAATCTGCTTGCTTCTTTGGTGCAGATGAAATCATTTAGTCATTGCTATATTTCTTCAGCTACTTTTCTCTTCCATTCTTCATTATGTATCCTTCCCTTCCCTACTTTTTGGAAATAAATCCAAAAAAGTCCCTTACTTTTCGTTTTCTACATCCCCTCCTATTGCTGCCTTTGATTTTTGGGTGACCAATGGTGAGATGACCACTGTCTTTGGATAAACATTGTGACTTCTGAGAGCAGAGGCACTGTGGTAAGCAGTAACCATGGCAGTTATAATCCTAGGGCTGTTGTCGACTGTGCTGGAGACATGGGCAGTCTACTTTATCATTAACAAAGGGCTATGTCTTATCCTTCAGTTTGTTTAATTTTGAAGTTTTGAGGAGGATTGCCATTATTTTTGGAACATTTTTCTCTGTGCCTTTGACCACCTCTTTTCCCTAAGAGTAAAGTTTTTCATGTTATTTGGGAAAATACCACTATATTGTTGATGTGAATAATCCATATGGCACTTGCTGTAACCATTTCACAACCCACAATGAAGTTTGTAAAAATTAGGCAAAAATTGGATTTTATTTATTGTGTCTCTTAATAGCATGATATAAGAGTGTTAAAGTTAATTTTTTTCTATCAAAGTTATATTTTTAATGTTTTGGCTTTTTAGTCTGACCTAGGTAAAATCAATTATTTTATTGTTTCAACATTTATAGTGCTACAAAACCTAACACATATCAGGAGGTGGGGCTTTCATCATTACAAATTTATTTATATATACATATATATATATATATATATAAATATACACACACACACATATACTTCATTTATTTATTTATTTATTTATTATTAGTTTCAGCTGTACAGAACAATGCAACAGTTATCCTTTTCACCCCTCACAAAGTAACAACCCTCTTCCCCCATCCACTGCCCTCCCACCCTCAACATCATACTTATCTGTTACTTTTCCATTGACTCCATTCCCACGCTCTACTCCACATCCCGTGACCATATGTATATATAACTGTAGTTGACATACAATATTATTCAATATCAGCTTCAGAAATACAGTGCGGTGGTCAGGCCTCTACACTGTCTATGCAGTGGTCTCCTTAACAAGACATGAGTTTAACTGACCCCCTAAAAAAATATTTACAACATTATTGATTATATTCTCCAGACTGTCTTTTCTATCCCTGAGGCTATATTCTAGTTACCAATTTGTATTGTCTCATCCCTTCCCCTTCTCCTTCATCCCCACCCCCTCCCAACCAGTAACCCTCAGTTTTTCCTCTGTGTCTCTGTGACTATTTCTGTTTACATTTCTCTTTTATTCAGGTTTTTAGAATCCACATATAAGTGAGATCATATGGTATTTGTCTTTCTCAGACTGATTTATTTCACTTAGCATAATATTCTCTAGGTCCATCCATGTCGTTGCAAATGGTACAATTTCTTTCTTCTTTATAGCTGAGTAATACTCCATTGTCTAAATGTACCACAGTTTCTTAATCCAGTCATCTACCAATGGGCATTTTGGTTGTTTCCAAGTCTTGGCTATTGTGAATAGCGCTGCAATGAACATAGGGGTGCATATATTTTTTCTAATAATGTCTTGGGATTTTTTGGATAAATACCTAAGAGTGGTATTGCTGGGTCATAAGGTAGTTCCATTTTCAGATTTTTCAGGTACCTCCATACTGATTTCCATAGTGGCTGCACCAATCTGCAGTCCCATCAACAGGGTTCCCTTATCCCCACAACCTCGCCAGCATTTGTTGTTTGTTGGTTTATTGATGATAGCCATTCTGACTGTAGTGGAGTGGTATCTCATTGTCATTTTTATTTGCATCTCTCTAATGATTAGTGAAGTTGAGCATTTTTTCATATGCCTGTTGGCCATCTGTATGTCCTCTTTAGAAAAATGTCTCTTCAATCCTCTGCCCATTTTTTAATTGGGTTGTTTGTTTTTTTGATGTTGAGTTGATTGAGTGTTTTATAAATTTTGGATATTAACCCCTTATCAGATCTATCATTGACAAATATCTTCTCCCATTCAGTAGGCTTCCTTTTTGTTTTGTTGATGGTTTCCATTGTTGTAAAAAAAAACTTTTAAGTTTGGGGTAGTCCCATATGTTCATATTTTCTTTTACTTCCCTTACCCGTGGGGCTGTATCAGCAAAAATATTGCTCAGGGTAATGTCTGCAAATTTAGACCCTATATTTTCTTCTAGGAGTTTTATGGTTTCAGGTCTTACATTTAAGTCTTTAATCCATTTTGAACTTGTTCTTTTATATGGCATAAGGAGGTGGTCCAGTTTCATTTTTTTGCAAGTGTCTGTCCAATTTTCCTAGCACCATTTATTAAATAGACTATCTTTACTCCAATGTAAGTTCTTGCTTCCATTGTCATAGACTAACTGCCCGTATATGCCTGGATTTAATTCTGGGCTCTCTATTCTGGTCCATTAATCTATGTGCCTGTTTTTATGCCAGTAGCATACTGTTTTGATTACTGTAGCCTTGTAGTGAGTTTTGATGTCTGGTAGCACAATGCCCCCGACTTTGTTCTTATTTCTCAGGACTGCTGTGGCTATTCGGGGTCTTTTTTGGTTCCATATAAATTTTAGGATTATATTTTCTATTTCTGTGGAAAAAGCCCTAGGTAGTTTGATAAGAATTGCATTGTATCTATATATTGCTTTAGGCAGTATGGACATTTTAACTATATTAATTCTTCCTATCCATGAGCATGGTGGGTTTTTCCATTTGTTTATATCTTCTTTTATTTCTTTCTTTAGTATCTTATAATTTTCTGAGTCCAGGTCTTTTACTTCTTTGGTTAAATGTATTCCTAAGTATTTTATAGTTCTTGGAGGGATTGTAAATGGAACTGTTCTCTCAATTTCTCCTTCCGATAGTTTATTATTGGTATATACAAATGCAACTGATTTCTGAATATTGATTTT